ATCAACTGTAATCTCACTTGAATTTCTATCACTCTAGCTACAAATCTCATTTTAAAGCAGAGCTCACAAAAATGACTGAGCACAGCAATTGAGAAAGAACTCAACCATAACAAAAAATAAGGTGGTACCTTAAGCCAATACATGTTCCTCCTCCACTAAATTAACACAATCCTCTCTTGCCTTCTATTATAGAGGGAACATTAACATATATATATATGTGTGTGTGTGTGTGTGTGTGTATATATAAAAATATGTCATATTTTCTATACTTACACAAACATAAATACATACATCCACACATACACTAGGAATGCATAGACTTTAAAATACAGAAAGTAACAGAATTGAGTTTTAGTACTCATCATGTCACATGAAATCACAGTTAGGATTTATACCATATCATTTTTTTTCAGCTTCTTTGAGGCATTTGTTACAAAAGACATTCATATTTTGGTTCCCTAACTTAACAGGTTGTGCTATTTTTGTTTTAAAAAAGTGATTAGTAATAATTACCAGTGCTCTTACACCATAAAAACCCTATACATTCACTTTGGAAAATCTGGAGAATATAGAAAATTCTAAAGAAAAGGTAAGATTACCTGTGGTCTTGCCATTAAATGTATATGGGTTGTGTTCACTGGCTTGTTTCCTATTATTTCTATGCATTTTAATGGTTTCATTTTTTGCACATTTGAGTATGTAGCTTTATTAAAATTTAACCCATGTATACTTTGAGAAATTTTCCATGTTATACTGAGCTATTTAAAAGCATTATTTTAAGTAAATATCTTCATAAAATACTATCATCTAGCTGTACCAGACTTTACTTCTCTGTTTTTTATATCAAGGAGTAATGACTGGTTTACTTTTCATTGTTGTTCAGTTGCTCAGTTGTGTCTGACTCTGCAACCCTATTGACTGCAGCATGCCAGGCTTCTCTGTCCTTCACTATTTCCCAGAATTTACTCAAACTCATGTCCATTGAATCGATGATGCCATTCAACCATCTCATCCTCTGTCACTTCCTTCTCCTCTCCAGTCTTTCCCAGCATCAGGGTCTTTTCCAGTGAGTCAGCTCTTCCTACACGTGGCCAGAGTATTGGAACTTCAGCTTCAGCATCAGTCCTTCCAATGAATATTCAGGGTTGACTTCCTTTAGGACTGATTGGTTTAATCTCCCTGCTGTCGAAGGGATTCTTCAAGAGTCTTCTCCAGCACCACAGTTTGAAGACATCAGTTCTTTGACACTCAGCCTTCTTTATGTTCCAACTCTCACATCCATACATGACTACTGGCAAAAAACATAGCTTTGATTATGCAGACCTTTGTTGGCAAAGTGATGTCTCTGCTTTTTACCTTATTGCTAGTGTAAATAATACTACAGTGAACCTTTTTTCACAAAATCATATTTATAATTCAAATGATCCCTTTAGGACTGGTTTCCAAAAGTGTATTACAGATTGAGAATCTGTTTTAAGGTTCTTGGTAAGTACTGCCAAATTATTTTCCAGAAAGGTTGAATCTATTTTTACACTCAAATTTAGCTTACAAAACACTCACTAGCATTATTATAAAGGTCTTAGTAGGGAAATAATGGGCATATAATAAATAATCCAATACTCAGATTATGCTTGCTAGAATTTAATAAACATGCACTTTTAAAATAGGTTTTGTTAAAATTATATGACTTAATTGTGTAAGTTTTTATAAACTAGTGAGACTACATGTTCTACTATATTTGATGAAGATTATTCTAACTTCAATTCTTGAGTCTCTCAACTTATTTGAGTATTGCACATATAGATACAATGTAGATCTATTTTATTTCATCCCTGTTGAATGATATCTATAAGGACTTGGGTAGACTGGGCCACTCCGTTCCAAGGAATCATGACCTACTTATATTCAGGTGTTAACTCCCACATGTAGATTGATTTTAATCTATTGAAATAGAAACTACCTGGGAAACTGAGACAAAAAATTAAAAAATATCTCACTTTCTGGAGCTGAGAAATCATTTTAGAAAGATAATATGGTGGTATATAACAATGGAAGTTTTCAGAAACTGATTCATTTCATGACCTACCTATCAGGTTGAGTGAATGGGTGCTGAACTATCACTTGTTAAGGTAAATTGAGATTTGAATAAATGATCATTAGAGTAACTCTATAATCAGTAGGATGCAATAAGCATTAGAGTAACTATATAATCAACAGGATGCAATAATCAACAGGAAGCTCCTCTGTGGACAGAGGAGCTTGGGGGGGTAGAGTTCATGGAATCACAAGAGTTGGACACAACTTAGCAACTACACGGCCAACCACCATTAGTTAGTTGGCAGAATGAAAGTAATTATGATAGTTTTCTGAGTCAACAAAGAGAAACTCCATAAAGTTACCCAACAGCCTTTTTTTTCACTTGTCATCCTCATCCCCTTAGAATTCTGAGGATTCACACAACAGGAATGCATCTGGATTCTGCTCTAGCATTTCTCTTTAAATCAGAAACACCTCTCAAGTATTGATACAAGCAACTCAGTCCAAATAAAAGACTGAAAAAAGAAATGTTATTTGAAACTCAACAGTTATAAAGGTTCCAAATGCAAAATCATTTGAAAAAGTCAACGGCCAAAAAGTTTCCCAGTGTCACCATCATATCTCTTATTTTCATAGTCCATTTACTGGTCTCACCATATGTTCCATTTTCACATTTTCTGATGATATTTGCTCCTGGGAGACAGAAGGAAAAGAGAAAGTCAATGCATATATTTGCTCTATGGGTTATAACATTCCCATCTTACAAATTACTGCCTATCAACATTACCTTGTATATTGATTATCAATTTTGATTTATTACTTTATAAATTACATTTCATCTAAATTGGCAGATAACATGAAGTTAACAATACATTTCCTTAGTTTAGATATTATTCTGAGGCTTCCCAGGTGGCTCAGTGGTAAAGAATCTGCCTGCCAATGCATAAGATACAGAAGACGCAGGTTACATCCCTGGGTCAGGAAGATCCCCTGGGGTAGAGAATGAGAACCCACTCTAGTATTCTTGCCTACAAAATCCCATGGACAGAGGAGCCTGTAGTCCATGGGGTCACAAAGAGTTGGTCACAACTGAGCATGCAGAGTTTGAAGGGGTATTTATCTTACCAGTTTAAGCCTGTGGTTTGTGAGTCTGAATACATTTTATTCACACAAAACTTGAGCATATTATGAGAAAATAGTCAGCATGTGAATCATCTCCTTCCTGACCTCCATCTAGAGTGTTACTGATTTCTAGGGCAGCCTGGGCTGTGAAGCTGTTACTCGGTTTGTCAGAGGAGGCATTAGGATTCAGTATTGTATACTTAATTATCTCCTTTATTGAAGCAAACTCCTTCCCAGGAGGTATGACAGGGTGTATTTGCCCCCAAATGTAGCCACTAGAATGTCAGGTTGGCTCAGCTTGATTTGTTTATATTAAGTGTGAGCATTCTCTTCTTTATTTAAATGAATTATACTCTCTGAAGTTTTGACTTTAGAAGTCACTTCTTAGTATGTTAAGTTTTGGTAAGAACTCAACGAATAATATCTAATCTGATGACTAGTCATCTTTCAAAGCAGTAAATTTAGTACAAGCACTTACAACCGTGCCATTACTTAGTTTTAATATAAGTGGAATGCACAATAACAAACTATTATGATTATTACAAAACCTTGGAAACTCTCTGAGCAGCTTATTTGCTTGTTTGTACATTTATTTCCAGTTGTTATCTTTTGACTTTATTCTCAACAACTGGGAAATTAAGTCCACTTTGTTAGGAAAGGTGGGTAGCAAAATTGGGGCTGCAGATCCAGGGCTGAACTCAAACAGTCCTGTCTAAAGAATGTATTAATAATAGCAAGAAAAAAAGAGTATGTTGGGGGTGGGTCTGAAAGAGTGTTAGTTATACCTCTGCTGCTGACCAGCTGTGTGACTTTATACAAATTATTTTTTCTATCTGGGCCTACAGTTACAGAAAAAAGGGACTAAACTCATGTCCCCAAAATTTACACTACTGTAACATTTTGATATTCGACAATGTGGTTCTTAACTACAGTATCCTAACCACAATTTCCCCAAATCTTTACTTCTGTGTAGTCCCTTTAGGTAACAACACAGTATTCTCAAAAACATCACCTTCTTACTAACACTGTATCTAAAATTCTAAAATAATTGTTCTGGGAAAGTTCTAAATGAAAAGGGCCAGTTTTAGCTCCATTGGGGAAATTTCCCCAAAGGTATCAGAGGTTTCTCTAGTTAATCTCCAGCTACCTGAAAACATTTCTAGGATCTTTTAAAACCTCGCTTAAAAAAAACACACACACACACAAAAACCAAAACTACAAATCCCATGAGTCAAAGACGGATTAGAAACGGACACCTCCCCTCCAAACCCTTCCCGGTTCCCTAGAATGTAGTCTGCTAAAACTCAGGTTGAGGCATCCTGAAATATGCCTGAGAGAAACGCCTGCTGTTTCATCCCGGTTTTTAATCTGTGCTCTAGCTTGGCTCCTTTAAATCGGTGCTGAGAATGAGGAAGGAAAAGGAGCTACGCAGGGCGGGATGGGCGCGGGTGTGAGCATCACCTGTTCTGAAAGGGGCATGCGCACTGTGAGGGCGCGGACGAGGGGGCGGGGCGCGGTGGGAGGGGCCGACGGCGCCTGGCTGGCACCACTCAGATCTGCTTCTGCCCGGCTTGGGGCGCTGAGGCGGCGTCGGGAGTTGCCTTCTGCAAAGGTTGCCTGGCGTTGTCCAACATGGAGGAGGCACTGGCCTCGGGCATCACCTGCAAGAGGGACTAATCTCCGCCTGGCGTTCAGGGCAGCGGTGCCGGAGTTCCCGAGCCCAGGGACTCCGCCTGCACGCCCTGAGCCAGACGCTGCTCTGGTTGCTCCTCCGGCGGCGGGTTTCCCGGCGGGGACGCAGCGCAAGGAGGGAGCGCGGCGGCTCCGGGTTTCCTTAAGCCATGGGCAACGAGGCGAGCTTGGAAGGGGAAGGGCTCCCCGAAGGGCTGGCGGCGGCGGCGGCGGCAGCAGCCGGAGGAGGGGCTGGCGGGGCGGGGAGCCCCTTGCACACCGTGATCCCGGCCGGCATGGAAGCGGATCTGAGCCAACTGAGCGAAGAGGAGAGGAGACAGATCGCTGCTGTCATGTCAAGGGCGCAGGGGCTGCCCAAAGGAAGCGTTACCCCGGCCGCTGCGGAGCCGCCTTCCATGCACAGGCACGCACAGCATGATGTATATGTTCGGGCATATATGTACAGCTTCTCGTGCACATATGTTCCAGCCCATATGTGCCATCACGGCAGTACATATATGTCGCTTCCGTTCATTTTATTCTTCCTAATGGGGTGGCTGTAAAGAGAACATAAGCCTTCTGTTGGGTAGAATAAGAATGTTGCATTACAGAGTTTCTAGTGGGATAGTCAAGGGTTGCATTCTTGGAACTGTGATTTTAGGTTGTGATTTCTGGCCTTTTGGAACCTTTTCCCTCTAGGGTGGCGTGGAGAGACGCCCTCCAGTGTTTTACTAATCTGGAAGTCTTCCATTAATACAGAACGGACGTGTTAGGAAATGGATAGAGCTGGGTGTTTACCTGTCTCTGTTTAAACCTCCTCAGTCATTTTGGGGTCTTTTTCTCTTTGAATAATATTTAAATATCATTTTTGTAGTAATACCTTTAATTCCCTTAGAGGTGATTTGTCTTTCCTTCACACCCCACCCCCAGAGCAGAACAGGAGCTGTTTAGGTAGAAGGCAGAGAATGAATACACCTTTTATATTCAGTGAGGAACCCTAAATTATGTTGTGGCGTTAAACAGATGATTTGGTCACAACAGTGCAGGTGCTGTACATGTATTTATGAATTGGCATATGCTATTTTCTAAACCACTGCTATTTTATGTGGAAAAGGATATTACAGTTTATAGAAGAATGTGTGAATTTGTGTTATCTTAAAATTAGTTTCCAGTTCGTACTTTTAAACACAGAGCAAATAACATCTTGCATAGGAAATTAAGAGCTGATTTGTAATATTAATGTATGCATTTCCCCCACTAGCTCTCTGTTTTACTACATCCCAATAAACTGGTTGTTTTCTAATTAGAGTACTTAGAGGGTATAATCATCGTGCCTGCCCTGCCTTTATTCTGTAAACAAACCCTTTAACTTCACACCCTTCCCTACAGAACAGTTCTCTGACCGTGGTCCTGAAACCACTCCGGCTTTATGATAACCTAACAGTTTTCATTAAAGATACTGGAAATATAAAAAATCTTGATGTAGGTGTAGGCTCTTATCCTCTACTTCATAAAATAAATGCACTTTAACTTAGGAGCTATAAGTATATACATATAATTTTGTCAAGTAACTATTTAATTTAGGATAACTGTAAAAGGTTTTATGGATGATAATATTTTTCACATAAAATCTTAAATGCATAAACTATATCAGGCAAAAACCCTATTTTCTTGAAGGGAAACCCAATACTACTGGTAAAAACTGGCTTTTTCTTATTGAATATGTTTTTCTGTGTTTTTTAAATTAGTGATGTATTGGGCTATTCCTTTGGCATAAAGTCTTTCTTATACATTCCCTTAAGAATACAGTTTATGATATGTACTGTTTTTCTCTACTAATTAAAACTTGACTTAGAAAAAAGTTTGAATGTTCATATAGTAGATTTTTTTTAGGATAATAATGAGGTACAGTACTTTTATTAACCTTTTAAAAAATGTATGCCAGCTCTGCTGCAATTTTTTCCTAAGAGCCACAAGCAACAGGTTTAGCATGCTGGTTACAGATACCAGGGAAAGTGAGAACTTTGATTTCTAAATTCCTTACTTCTATTTAGAGGGTGGCTAAAAAATAATATTTCAGCCTATGAAAGTATAGTGTTTTATGTATTATTTGTATCAGGTAGCATAATTTTAAAGCTCTCTACTGATAGTTTTGTTACCGTAGAATTCTTAGCAATTGATTTCTGTAGTCTAAACAGTTAATGACAAAAGCTTCATTCAAATATATAAACAATATATGCATGATTTTGGCAAACTGTTTACATTTTACTGAAAGATTTCTATAAAAATATATAATTTTGGAAAGTTATTATTCCCATATGTGACAACCAAATAAATACTTGGCTTATGATTTAGATTTTTAGAAACATATTAATTCAAGTATATGTAAGAAATTGTATCCAAATCATTTCACATTTTAGGTTACATGATTTGAATTAGACATGGTGGATTTTTACCTTTTTTTTTTTTTAAGAAATAAAGGTTGACAGCCCAAAGACCTTATCTTATTATTTTTAACTGACTCATAGCAAATTATATATGCTTCTCAGTCATATATGCCTAAGTTTCCTTGCCTCTAAATAAGATGATAATACTTATCTATCTTGTAGAGCAATTGTAAGGGTCAGTTAAAAATTGACAGGACCATTTCTGCTTGGATTTTAATTTGAAGTAACCCTATACATATAAAAAGTAGTAATATTGCTATCAGCAGTGAAAGGCACTGGCAGTGATGGCTGCAGACGAGTTGTTGGTTAAATTATTCATTGTTATGAGTTATTTTGATATATCTATAATATATCTATATTCTTTTACATACAGAGAAGTCAGTGCAGCGTGCTGGAAATCCTGTCCCCCATCCTACCCACTGGGACTTAGGACTCCAGATTTCTGTGACTAACTAGTTTTATAACCTTGAATTAATATCTTTGCCTCTTAAATCCGACTATCCTCTATCATGTAAAAATGAATAGAGATTCCTAAAGTAGCTTATATTTATATTATTATAAAATTTTATGACTCAACACTATCAAGTGTCATTGCTTTTTGTGTTGCATTTCAACATCTTTTAGTATTTCAACTGCTTTTATAGTCTGACTCTTGAATGCATTTTTTTTCTCGTTTGTAGCTGAAACACTTTTTTCTGTTAATATGTGAAAGAAAAATTCTAATATGAGGATGGCAATAGTAAAATGAAAAAGAGAGGTTGTATAAAACTTGAAAAGTTAAAAGCTAGAAGTTAGAGCTTACAAATGAAATAGTCCTGGATTTTTAAAATTCATTGTTGATCCAGGGAAATGCAAGTTTATTACTCTTCTACTCATTCTATTTATACCTACAGATGTGTCACATAGACAAACTTTCCTGAAAAATACTTCCGATTAGTAGAACAGTGACAATTCTGACTGAATTGATTATTTTCCTTAGCATTCCTTGAGCCTCCCCTACTGGGTAGACACCTCCACAACTGTTTGTCTTCCTAGAGCAGCAAACTAAAATGAAAATGGAATGTTTCCATTTTTATCTCAGAAGACCAGTAGAAAAATTTAAAGTGAAAAGGATTCAAGAAACAGTAATCAACAGGGAAACAAAAACCTGATATGTTCATTCATTTGTTCTTTCACTGTTATTCATTCATTGATTCATCAAACATTAATACTCATTGACTAGTTATGAGCTTTGGTTCTAGTGATGCAAAGATGAGTAAAACACTTTCTCTCCCTTGGAGCTCATGATCTAGTACACAAGAAACAGATTGCATTTTAATCATTCTTGTTTTTATTTTATTTTATTTTTTTTTATTCTTGTTTTTAACATGACTATTATACCCAACAAAAATTCATCAAAAGACCATAGTTAGCTAAGACATCTTTTTTTTTTTTGCTCAGTATTAAGCCTATATCTTCTCTTAATTATTATCTGTTTCTCACTTTCAGACATCCATGTTTTATATTTATTTATATTATTATAACAACTAAAACTAAATTTAGTTTGTCTACCTGTATAGATATTCTCTTACAGGGGGCTTCTATAACATAATACAACTTAATATTTATAGGACACACATGCAGTTATAATTTCTAATGCAGGCAGCTTGCTTTAACTTTTGGTGTTTATTGTTATCACAGATATTTGGTACTCAACAACATTTATATTTTGTTTTGTATAAATCAACTAAGTGAAGAAATATCACAGAAACAATGATTATGTTTAATAGTATTTTCAGGGCTTCCCTCGTGGCTCAGATGGTAAAGTGTCTGCCTACAATGCGGGAGACCTGCATTCGAACCCTGGGCTGGGAAGATCCCCTGGAGTAGGAAATGGCAACCCACTCTGCGTAGTATAGTTAAGAATAGATTTTTAAGTACTCTGTTTAACTATGGATTTCTTCAATAAAAAGCCTAAATAATTCTTTATAGGATAATCTCTTAAGTTTGTGCCCTACAAGGGAGTGATAAACTTTATTAATTGAATAAGTCACATTTCTAGAATGTGAAAGTATAAACAGTGGAACTTTTAAAATATAATCTATTTTGGATTGTTTACCATGGCTCTTCAGCCAAACCCACTCCACTGTTCTTGCCTGGAGAATCCCATGGACAGAGGAACCTGGCAGGCTACGGTCACAAGGAGTTGGACACAACTGAGCAGTTAGCACTCTGCCTTCATATGGAATGGAGCAAATGGATAATTTTAGTTCCTTTTTTAAGTACAGGCTTCAGAGACAAGTTTTTATAACTTTTTTCCCTGGAGGAAATTTCCAGAACTGAGAGTTCTGTTTATTAATCTTTTATTAGAAAATAACTTTGTGGCATTCATTGCCATTTATAGTTTATTTTCTTCTGACTCGTTGCTATCTAGAATATGTCTGTGTTGCTTCCTACTGTGCCTTACATTTTTCTTTTTGAACAGAGAAATTTTTATTACAGGGTCATGCAAAGAGATGGGTGGCTCATGCCTTAAGGACCCCAAAGTTACTAAAAGCTTTCTACAAAGCCCTTTTATAAGAAAGGTAGGGAAGGACATGGCTAGTTGCTGCAGACTTCTTGGTGTCAAATCCTTTGTTCTTGAAGTCATGATCAGTCAGTGATGTTCCTATAAGTCACTACCAAATGAATGTTATTCTCTGTCATCCTGGTCGTAGCTAACAGGAGGCAGATCTCAGTTGTATGTCTTACATCTTGATCTATCATCAGATTTCTGTGCCATTAGGGGAAATTAAAAAATGTAATTCATATTAAGTACCAGATGACCTGAAATGAAAAAGTTATAGTCTGGTCTATTGGCAGGTAAATTTTTGACAAAACAAGTTAAACCTATACAATATTGTGATCATCTCATATTTTAAGTGCTACTGAATCAGTCTGTTTATCTCATTTTCTTTTAATTAAAAAGAAATCTTTTTGAAAATTAGCAGTTTACATCTATCAAAATACAGCTTGATTTATCCCATAATTCTGATGCAGCATGTTCTTATTACTTGCAACTTCATTAGTAAATAGCTTATTTAGAGACTAATATACTTGATAAAAGTGTATATGAGAAACAAGTATTTTAATTATTTAACCAGTCATTTAGAACTGATGTGTCCAAATTAAAAAAAAAAATCCATCTTGTATATTTGTCTATGAGTTAAAAGAATTTTTACAAATTACTTGTTAGTTTTTAAGTCATTGTCAATAATAGTACCTAATAGTGGTAATACTAAATGTTATAGAAGACATTAAGTAAAGAGATCTTTATTTCTTTTCTTCCTCTGAGTAAAGTAACAGTACTTTTCAAAAGTGGGATAACAACCAGCTTGTTGCTCTTTGTATATCAAGCTGTGTCTCAGGATGCTTTAAACATCTTATTGTTACATTAAGGGATCTCAGATTTAGAATGCTATTGGAAAAGTAATTGAGTGATGTCACGCTATTTTTCCACAAGAATTGTTTCTCAAAATTTTCTAATTAAAGTGGGAATACTTATTCTACAAGTTTAATATGGATAATATTTGATGGATATTACATTTTTTACAAAATAGGGTAAAATTGAGTAGATGATCAAGTTTCCAAGAGCACCTAAAAACCTCCTTTACCAGATCCTTTGATGTCATATTGTATGTCTTATGTAGCTAATGTAAATTCTAATATTAAATAAAGAAAACAGTTGTTTTTAAAAATGAATGTTTTCACTTCTTGGTATGCTAGTGTTTGGGAGACTAACATTTTTTGACCATAACCTTTGCTTAAAAAGGTATCCTGTGAACATGAATGTGTGAATGTACCGGAACATGTCTTTGCATTGTTCTGTTGAGTTAATATATTAAACAGGTTTTAAATATGACCAGATTCTATTCTTAACTATTAAGTGTAAACGTGAATTGTTTTTTGTTATAAGAAGTTTCTAACTAGATATTTTAATAGTTCATCACTTATAGTGGCAAGTATTGGATCCTTCCCCCTTCGCTTCACCTCCATGTTGAAAATCTGAACCCATGTAAAGAAAATAACAGACATTAAAAATCTTATGGTACTTACAGGATGATGTAAAAATGGATTTTAGTTATATGATCAAAATTTTGAAGATGTAAGAAAGTAACAGCTTTTTCATATAATTTTGAGTTGGTCTAATTTCCACTATTTTTACTTCTGTTTGTTTCATTCTTCTAGGAAGCAAGAGTTGGATAGTAGTCAACCTCCAAAGCAACCAGGAAAACCGCCAGACCCTGGGCGTCCAATTCAGCCTGGTCTCAGTAAGAGTAGAACTACAGACACTCTAAGGTCAGAGCAGAAATTGCCTGGAAGGAGTCCTTCCACTATTAGCTTGAAAGAATCGAAATCCAGAACTGATTTTAAGGACGAGCACAAGTCTAGTATGATACCTGGCTTCCTCTCAGAGGTTAATCCTTTAAGTGCTGTCTCCTCTGTTGTAAATAAATTCAATCCTTTTGATTTGATATCAGACCCTGATGCCTCCCAGGAAGAAGCCTCCAAGAAACAAAAAATAGCTCAGAAGGAACAAGGAAAACCCGAGGGAGTCACAAAGCCTCCATCACAACAACAGTCTCCCAAGACAGTTCCTAAGCAGCCAGGACCTGTGAGGGCTCCACTTCAGCAGGAAGGTTCTCCAAAATCCGGATCCACTCAGCCGCCAGAAAAAAGTAAATCACAACCTCCAGAAACAGGAAAGCCAGCTCAGGGCTTCCCCCAGGCTCTGCAGACAGACCAGGTAAAATTGCCACTTCAGAGAGATGCATCCAGGCCTCAGACTAAACAGACAGACCCAGGAAGGGGTGAGTCGGCTAAACCCTCACTGCAAAGCCCCTCTAAGCCACCTATTCAGCAAGGAAGTCCTGGAAAATCTCCAGCCCAGCAGCCTGGAGCTGAAAAACGTACCATACCACCGCCTGGGCCTGCAAAGCCCCTAGCTCAACAACTGGGAACAGCAAAGCCCCTGGCCCAAGCTCCAGGGCCCACAAAGCCTGGAGCTCAGCCTCCTGGGCCAGCAAAGCCCCTAGCCCAGCAGCCAGGAACAACAAAATCCCTGGCTCACCAACCCGGGCCACAGTCTCCAGCTCAGCCGCCTGGGCCAGCAAAGGCTCCAGCTCAGCAGGTTGGGACAACAAAGCCTCAGGTCCAGTCGTCCGGGCCAGGCAAGACTCCACCTCAACAGGCTGGCCCAGTGAAGCCCCCTCCTCAACAGCTGGGCCCAGTGAAGCCCCCTCCTCAACAGCTGGGCCCAGTGAAGCCCGCTCCTCAACAGCCGGGCCCAGTGAAGCCCCCTCCTCAACAGCTGGGCCCAGTGAAGCCCTCTCCTCAACAGCCAGGTTCAGCGAAGCCCCCTCCTCAACAGCCGGGCCCAGCTAAGCCCTCTCCTCAACAGCCTGGTCCAGCGAAGCCCCCGCCTCAACAGCCAGGCCCAACGAAGCCCCCTCCTCAACAGCCAGGCCCAACGAAGCCCCCGCCTCAACAGCCAGGCCCGACGAAGCCCCCTCCTCAACAGCCAGGCCCAACGAAGCCCCCTCCTCAACAGCCAGGCCCAACGAAGCCCCCTCCTCAACAGCCTGGTCCAGTGAAGCCCCCTCCTCAACAGCCAGGCCCAACGAAGTCCCCTCCTCAACAGCCAGGCCCAGCGAAGCCCCCTCCTCAACAGCCAGGCCCAGCTAAGCCCCCTCCTCCACAGGCAGGACCTGCAAAGCCCTCAGCTCAGCAGTCTACAAAACCAGTAAGCCAAACAGGAGCTGGGAAACCTCTGCACCCCCCAACGTTTCCATCTACAGCACAGACTCCAGCACACGGCCTCCCTAAAACCATCTGCCCTCTTTGCAATACCACCGAACTTCTGTTGCATGTTCCAGAAAAGGCCAATTTTAACACGTGCACCGAGTGTCAGACCATGGTCTGTAGTCTCTGTGGTTTTAATCCCAATCCTCATTTAACTGAGGTAAGTTCAGTTTCTTCAAGACGTTCATGCTCTTAAAACATCACCGTCTTCCACAAACAGTGGTTAGTTTATCACTGATAGGATAGGATGGCATTGTTTTTCTATGTTTCTTTTCCTCTTTTGCTCCTCCTTTCCTGCTTTCCTCTTTTTCGTCTCTGCCAAATGTAAATTAGAGTTCTTTCAACGTTTCCTCCAGTAATAATATTTCCCTAAAACATTACTATAATTTCTGATAAATTTGACACATAAAGGAAGTATGAATTCATTGAAAAATTCAGAGTGTTTACTCATTGCATTCTGGGTGTAAAGTCCACACTATTATTATATTACATTAATATACTACATTAACTTTTAAATTCATGCTCCTGCCAACCTATCATATAATACGCTTGATATGATATTTTTATACGGGATCCTGTTTGTGCTGGGGAAAAAAGCAGACAAGGTTTTCAGATTCTAAATACAATTTTAATATAAAACAATATATCTTTTCAAACTACACATCCCTTTTCCTGCCAGTGATTTTGCCATAATCAATGAGAACATGCTTCCTTCTTTAGTTAGAGTCATTCATAAAAGTATAAATCACTTCATAAAATGAAGTCATTAGAGCAGGTTCAACACTGATGGGTATTTACATAGAAAGATCACAGTTTGTAATTCCAGGTCTTTGGGTAAGTGTTCCTGACAGACTGAGTCATGAATGGGCCAGTTGTGACACAAATGAGTTTAAGATTGTTTAATCTGATTCAGGTTAGAAAAGTTATTCTCAGCAAGCCAGTTAATGTTAACTCAGCACTTAAAGGCCCTGGATAAAGTAGCATTTTAATAGGTAGAGATTTGGGGACCTTTTCGGGGAAGGGACAAAGAACATAAAACTGCAGAAGAATTTAGAAATTCTCTGGAGTTAAGAAATAATACAGTGAAGACGATATAATAATATAAACTAAGTGAGAATAAGAGGGGTTAGGATCCCAAAGAAGATGTTTTTAAAAGAAATGGAATAGTCCTTACCCAATGAGGAGGCACAGAAACCATTTAGTCCATCTGGAGAACAGCTGTTAGTGGGCTGTGTGTGCATGATGTCTGCGAACAGCCCAAGAAGGAATGGAGGCAGCAGTCATTGAAGGATTGTGTGATTTAAATATCTCCAAGAGTGGAGACTCATGTACCCTCATTCTAACTGAAATCCCTTTTCTGCTAAAAACAACAGTGATGATTATTGGTAGCTGTTAAGTTCATTTGGATACTTACTGTGATGAAAGATGATAATGATGTCCATTTAAAGTATGTCAACCTGTGATTTTCTGCCAATGTATTTTTACTCTTTTTACCAGAAGTCATATTGAGTACTTTAACATTTTAGATAGGGGATTCTTTAATGGTAAAATTGGAAATAGCAAGAACATTTCTGTTGTGGAGGAGATCAGATTATAAATAGTTTGTTTAATATATTTGTAGCTTTTTTTCATACCTTAAACTTTTCTGCATTCTTTTCTTATTTTTTAAAAAATTTTATTAAAGTATAGCTGATGCATAAAATTGTTACAAGTGTACAGCATATTGATTTACAAGTTTAAAGGTTATATTCCATTTTTAATTATAAAATGTTTGCTGTATTCTCCATGTTGTACAATATATTCATATGGCTGATTTCATATATAATAGTTTTATACCTCTTAATCCTTTACCCCCAAGCTGCCCCTACCCCTTTTCTTTTGCCCACTAGTAACCCCTGTTTGTTCTCTATATCTGTGTGTCTACTTCTTTTTTGTTATAATCACTAGTTGTATTTCTTAGATTCTGTGTATAAGTGATATCATACAGTATTTGTCTTTCTCTATCAGACTTATTTCATTTAATGTTCTCCAAGTCCATCCAGATTGCTGCAAATGGAAAATTTTAGTCTTTCTTCTAGCTGAGTAGTATTCCATTGTATATATGTGTGTGTGTATGTATTTATAAATTTTGATAAAGATGTGTTCCTGCCCATAGTATACCATCTTCTTAGGAATGTGTAGTAATAATGACTTCAAACAGTAGATGATCATTTTATAACATGTTAGTCATGACTTTGTGGCAATTTGTAAGACAGAAACACGTAGTTGGTCCTTCAAGCTAAATAATTATTTGAGTACCCAAAAAGTGGAAGGTATTTTACTATATGTGTGATAGGATATAAAGATAAGTAAAACATAATATTGATCTCTACATGATTCAGGTTCACTAGGTTAGATAATACATGCACAAGGAAATATGACATGTGGTCAAATAATGAAAGCTGTGAAACACATGAGCAAACATTATGGACTGTAGGGTAGGAAGTGTCATTTCCAGTGGGTGAGATTAAGGAGAGATTCGTGTAGAAAATGGCCTTTGTGCTAGGTATGTAAAGATGGATAGTATTTCAACAGATAAAGGACGTGAAAGGGAGTAATGATTTGGTCTAAGACCTAGAGCCAGAATAATGCAAAGTGTATTTAGAAAATTGGCATAACTCTAGGTTGGCTGAAGTGATGGGGAGGAAATGAGCAATGAGATTGGAGAGAAGTTGAATGCAGATTTTGGCATTCCACATCAGTAGAAGTGAGCATTCTGCTTTTTGAAACTTACCTTAATTAATGTCATATATCCAATCCTTCATTAATTTTACAAATGTGTATCAAATGCCTAGTTGTGAAACACTGACAAGTACTTTGGTAGAATCAAGTATTTGTTAGATATGGTATTTTCCTTCAACCAGGAAATAGAGGAAATAAAAGTTGTAGATAAGAAAGGGGAAAAACAAATATATAAGAAAACTAAATGTCGGGCTTTACAGTTCACATGGTTCTTTCCTATTTGTTTTATCAAAATTAAATTTCCAAGTAATTCTGTGGTTATATATTCTGTTCTCTCTGTTATATTTTCTTAATTATAGAGAAAATTGGTGTTCAAGTGGTTTTTATGGTTACTTTACTTGTTAGGATCAACCTGATAGTAAATAACTAGAACCCAAACTAAATGTTCTGATTCCAAATCCATTTACTCATGGTAAGAAGAAAGAAAGGGCTTTGAGATCAAATGAAGTAACCATGACTGTCTATAACAGTATCACAGCTCTCTTCATGGGAATACAAGTATTTGACCTGGGAATGTGAAGAATGATAACTTGGACATACTTGACAGGAGCTTGGAGTGTGGGGGCAGGTAGAAGATCTCAGTGGCTTAAAAAAAAAAGCATCCCCATTGTTAATGAGATGAGTGTGGGCAAATCATTTACACTTTCTCTATCAGTAATACCATATAAACAATGGAAACAATATGTTCTCTGCTGAACACAGTGAATTGTTAGGATTAACTGAACATTTGTATTAGAAGGTATTTTTTCAATATATGAAGTTCTTTTGAAGTTTTAATATTATCTGCCATGGATAATCTGATATTTTAAACAGAGTTGGCTTTGAAAGTTTACCCTCAAATTATTTTCTACAGATACAATATCATGAATTGTTGGATTCTGTGATAACAATCAAGAGCCATTTGATCTATAGTGTTAAAACATTTCATTTTAACTTTAATTTTCAAAAGGAAATGAAAAGAAATAGCACTCCTCTCCTACCGCAGAGTGATATAAAGGAGAAAACAAATAAAACATTTCTCAACCAGGAGTCAAATGCACTAAATCTATTACCCTCCTAGTAAAGCTGTCCTTAATTTGGACACTGACCCTCTGCCATCCTATTTTCTCTTATTCAATGGAGAAGCAGAACAGAAATAAATACAGAAAAAACTCTGCTGATTACCCATTCTGAATGATGGAGACATTCATTGTAAATGAGTGGTTTGGAGGGATTCACTTGACATTTTAGCAATACAACCACATGAAGGATATAGAGGAACTAGTGAAAAACAAACAAAACACCTGACCTCAAAGGAGAGCATCTACTCAGAAAATAAAAAGAACTTGTAAAATTCGTATGATTCGTATTTCATCAATAATTAGGATACTCCAATTTCAGTGTGCAGACTTGAAGATAAAAATGGGCCCAGTTGATGTTTTGGAAATGAGACCCCCAGAATTTTCCCATCAGATTATCTAGCTACTTAATTGAGGACCTACTATGTTTCAGGCACTTTCTGGACTATCTTAGATGTAAGAGTGAACAAAATAGCCAAAAAGTGTGTATTGGTCAGAGTGGCAAATAAAACGTATAGTGGGACAGATGGTAGTAAGTGTTATGGAGAAAAATGAAGTAGAGAAGGTTATAGCACAAACCAAGGGAAGGGGTTGGTGATATAGTGGTGAGGTCTCTTCATTCCCTGTCATTCGGGGATTAGCATGTGGGAGTTGATGGATGAATCAGGAATCTGGAATTTTTAGTGGTGACTAAAGGTCTAATTTATGTGTATAGCTCTAACTGAGGCTGAGGGTTTGAAGGGGGCTAAATAAGGAAAGGGTGGGAATGTACCCAGGAATGTTTATAGTTCTGAGATCCCCCTCTTTACTCTTCCCTGTGGTGTTGTGGAGGCTGGGAGTAAGCCTTTTATCTCCAGTATAGGGAGCTCTTTCTAAGCGCCTGCACATAGAATTGTAGACATTTTGAGGAGGTGGTTATCTGAAATTCTGAGGTTCCCTTGGGATTCCGAGAGCTCTGGGGCTCTAAGAAAAATATTTTAAAATTGTGGAAATTATATCTAAGAGCTTATTATTTCTAAGAGTTCCAGCTTATTATTTCTAAGAAATTATATCTAAGAGTTTCAGAAAGAAAGAATCAAGGCTCTGGAGTCAAGCTCTAGAAAAAAGGAAGTCTTCAGATTTTGATCCACCAGTAGTCAAGCATGATTAACAAAATGCCTGATAAATATATCCTGGTAAAATGATGTGATTTCCAAGGATAAGGAGAACATTTGAAAGACTTCTACAGAGAAAGAAGTATCATCTACAAAAAGATGAAAAATCAGGCATCTGTATAATAGTCATTATCAACACAGAAGACAGCAGAGAGGGAACAATTTCT